ATATAGCAATAGTCAAAAAGGTAAAAAGCATTCAAATAGAGAAAAGGTGATGTCCACAAAATCAGCAAATAACCCAAATCCAAGTTAGGAGACAAATCAGTCCCAAAATCCAAGAAGCAAATCCATAGGAAGAAAGTCTTTCTTTTCCAAAGGTGGCAAATGCAAAAGTCCCTTGAAGAAACAGGAGCCAACTTGAATCAAATAATCTAAATGCAGTAGCTTGAAATCACAAACACCAGCTTACAAAAATCTCAGCATGTGCATGAATACAAAGCAAGATTATACATGATTCCCCGCATGAACAAGCAAGCATGAAGCAGGCATGAAAACCAAATGTTGGACTTACTGAAGAGTATAGACTCACAGGCCCTATATTTATTCAGAAAGCCATGGCAAAAGCATTCCCTTTCCCTTGGGAAACCTCTCCCTGACCCCCTGATTCTCTTAATCTTTCAGACCGTCTTCTGCCCCCTTCCAGGTATGATGATGATTGATTTGACTTCTCCTATCAAAGACTGGACTACTGCAATGCACTCTACGTGGGGCTGCCCTTGAAAACGGCCCAGAAATTTTAGATGAGCGGCAGCCAGGTTGTTAACTTGTGCTCCTTACAGGGAGAGGTCATCCCTCCTGTTCAAGGAGCTCCACTGACTGCCATTCATCTACCAGACCCAATTCAAGGTGCAGGTTCTTACCTACAAAGCCCTGAACGGTTTGGGACCCGCCTACCTGTGTGACCGCATCTCTGTATACGAACCCACACGATCTCTTCGTTCATCTGGAGAGGCCCTGCTCTCGATCCCACCAGCATCGCAGGCACGATTGGTGGGGATGAGAGAGAGGGCCTTTTCGGTAGTGGCCCCTCAACTCTGGAACTCACTCCCTAAGGACATCAGGCAGGCCTCAACCCTGGGGTCTTCAGGAGGAGCTTGAAGATGTGGTTGTGCGAGTGTGCCTTCCCGGAATAATGATCCCATAGCACTTTGTCCCTCCAAAGCACTTTATACTTTTAGGTCTGCTCGTATGTCTTCCACAAACGCCACTATCGCCTTTTCGTCCATGCCTCAGCACTTTTCCAATTTTAATTTTTACATTTGGCCTTCCCACAATTTTTAATTGTATGTTGTCTTATTGATAATGTTATATGTTTATCGTTTATGTTTTATTTTAATTGCTTGTATTGTTGTATTATTGCCTGCATTGTTGTGTTTGGGCTTGGCCTCATGTAAGCCGCACCGAGTCCCTTGGGGAGATGGTATCAGGGTACTAATAAAGTGTTGTTGTTGTTGTTGTTATTATTATTAAGAGTGTCTGGTCGTCCCTCAGCTTGCCAATTAGTACATTCCTTTCACTATCACTATCTGGCCTTGGCCGTTCAACCTTTTCCTCGGCCCCTTTTTCTGTTAGCATCGAAGCATCTTTGCCTTGGGAACCAACGATCCCAGAATCCTCTGGTTCACTCTGGCTAGAACCAGATACTGTGTCAAAGAAGAGTTCAGATTCAGAGCCTCAAGAGAAACAATGTTTGTTCATCTTGTCAGGCAGCCCATCTAAAGATTACTTAGAAACCATTTCTATTAACAACAAAGACATGAAAGGACTTCGAGATACAGGCTCTGAAGTATGTATAGTGCATCCAGAAATAATACCTCAGGAATTTC